AAAAGATTTGTAAGGCAAGATTTTCCCATGTTGACTATCCAATAAAATTCTAAACTTTGTTAAATGACTTTGCAAAGCATCTTTTAACAGACTTTCCAAAAATTTTCCCACAACTGATGCAAGACTAATGGGTCTATAATTACTGGGACAATTTTTATTACCTCCTTTAATAAGAGGAATTATATTAGCTAACTTCCAATCCTCTGGTACCTGCTCACTATTCAAGGACTGACAAAAAAATAGTAGGAAGCGGCTCACGTATCCAACCTTTAATCTCCTTCAAAACCCTTGAGGAAATATTATTTGGCCCATTTTTTAAACTTCCAAATTGTTTCTTAACCAGCTCAGAATTACTGTAGTCATCTTGTTTGATCTTGTTTCCATTTATCAACTGATCAAGATGTGGAATACTGCTTAAATCTTCATTAGTAAAAACCAAAGGACAAGTAAAATTTCATAACTCGGCCATTTCATAATCATCAGATACTATGATGCTTTTATATCAAGTAACTTTAGTGACTTAAGAGATAAGTACAATATTACCATACACAACAGTAACATAAAAAGTATTTATAACCAAAATTTCAAAAAACTGTTACTAGCACAAGTTGTGTAACTATCTTATTCACAGCTATTTCTACATTATATTCCTAAAATTAGTTGTATTTGGTTTTATTCTCTCTCTCTCTCTCACACTACATTTAAAAAGTATCTTATTGAAAGACAGACTAAATCTAAAGGGCCTAAAATCCTACTCTCAACTTTGTCCAGTCTGTGATTCTAACAATAATAACTAAACTTTGGAATTAATAATATTCAAAAAGTATTAAACCTGAAATATCTACTTCTGAACACAATGATGCAATAAATATGTTATATTTTCAACCACATGGTGTCTAGAAGTAGATAATTGTAACTGGTAAAATAGACTTAAAACTTTTACATAAAGTAAATACAGTATACTATTGTAACATTTACGAAAACAAATATTACCCTGCCAAGACAACAATGAAATCCAACCAATTCCAAGGATTACGTAAGTATGTATACTGTGAAAGTATAAATCCTCTTGCTACAGATTTAACGATCATTTCCATGGTGTAGATAGCCAGAAAAACAAATCTGTAAAAAAAGCATTATTTTAGTAATTAACATAAACATCTTTATTAACTCCGAATCTAACACGAAATTTTACAGATTTACGTTACAACCCAAACGACTTAAAACAAATTTCAAAAGAAAGAGCCATAGAACACGCTTCATAAGAACAAACCAAACATACTTCACAAAAACAAGACAAACAACAAACTCACAAGAACAAACCACAGAATATACTTCATAAGAAGAAACCAAACAACATATTTCACAAGAAAAAGACATACAACAAACTCACAAGAACAAACCACAGAACATACTTCATAAGAAGAAACCAAACAACATACTTCACAAAAACAAGCCACACAAAGTACTTCACAAGAACATATTAAAGAACATACTTCACAAGAACAGACTACACAACATACTTCACAAGAACAAGCCACACAAAGTAATTCACAAGAACAAGCCAAACAAAACGTACTTCACAAGAACCAGCCACACAAAGTACTTCACAAGAACAGACTACACAACATACTTCACAAGAACAAGCCACACAAAGTACTTCACAAGAACAAGCCAAACAAAACATACTTCACAAGAACAATCAACACAATGTACTTCACAAGAACAGACTACACAATTTACTTATATATTTATTATAGTGGTAATATTTTCCTTCTAATAACTAATATAGTACACGTAAGAGCTACATGTAAAACATAAGCCTTTCTTTCCTGAGCAATGAGTTAGTGCAAAAAAGAATAGAATGTTTGAAACAGTATTTGTCTTATTAATATTTTTCTGCTTTAATACAGTGCCTGATAATTTCATTTGTGATAAATATTTTCACACAAAATATCTACTCTCGCTTAACTTTACTGAACAGTGAACTTGCTGGAAAAGACATCGTGTATAAGACACAGATATTTCCAGTTAATCTGCAGATTTAAATTAACATATATAAAGCACATAAACACTTGATCTAAATCTCAAAAATAAATGTAATATGAAAAGGTCTTACTCTGTTTCTTCTATTGGATTAGTCATTGCCAGGAAAACGCAATTAACCAAAATTGTTATCATGACAAAGTAGTCGAAGAAACTGTAAAACAACATGAAAACAGCAGTTTTTGACAAAAAATAGCACTTGGCCACTTCTCCTAATGTAGTACAAAAAACAAATAATGATGGCTTTCAAAATAACCACGATTTTCAACTTATATCACAGAAGAATAAACTTCTATTATCAATTATTGTAAATTAATGATTTTGTGAAACATTAATTAATAAAAACTTGCTTGTACAGTATAAAATGGAGAACACTAATACATGTAAATATTTATATCTACACAATCGAACTGAATCTGCTTCACCAAATATGCACAGACTTATTATGTGTACCTACATGTACATGATTCATGACAAGTTTTTAGAAAAATGTACAAGTCTGTTGTGCACAAAAAATCAGATGAGTTACAAGGTATTTGATATGTCTGTGAAATGACGATGTTAGTCTAACCAGGACTCGGATGTTCACGTGAAGAATAAAAATACTTTTGTCCATCGTATAGTTTGTATATTGCATTTGTGTAACCTCTATAACTTCTGAAATACATATCTACAGTTTTTTCAGTACCCCTGTATATTGTATCTAGTATTTATTTTCGTCTACCATGAATTGTTGCTAAATTAGTAATGTAGATTACAATTAATAGTTGATGACTCTGACATCAGATATGTAATACCATGTAAAAGGTTGTGACATGTGCACTTTGACCCTCCTCATCCATGCACATAGGGTTAACTGAATATAAGATCATTTGCAAAAATCTCCTCCATGTCCTAACAGTTCTGGAAAAACAAACAATTTACTTGTACATCTATGCATTTCCCATCAATCTTTTATTTCCTCCTTGCATATTACTCCAAATTTCTTGACTACATCTGATAGGAGAAACTCCTCAAAATGATACTCATTTATTTATCCTCAAAGCTCCATAGCAACTCTCTACATCTGGTTGGTAATGACTCAAATCTGCCATTATCAATATGGTTAGGCCCAATATGAATTGCAAAAAACAACGTCTTATTTCATTCCTAAACCAAACTCACCACAGGATCATTTCTCAACATCCTGAGCTTCAGTACCTGGTAAATAAATCCTAATTTACCTTTAGTATACTTAATTAAAGTATGGAACACTACAAAAACCTCAGGATCCTTTCCCTACCTGGTCATACTCAATATAGACAGATATTTATATTTATTTAGTACAATAGCCTGTGCCTGACACAAACCTACTTTCCTACACATTCTTCCATTATACACTGTAATACACCCTGAATTTTTCCTCTCTTCACTCACAAGTGTATACTCACTTTCCATGTTTTCTGCTCATTCATTAATTAGAACTTCATTACTTACCATGTTTCTTTACTTCAAATTAAATCCTAACAAGCATACTTTATAGACAAACTCCCTCCGAGTTTCTTAAAAACTGTAACATATCCCATTATTTACAAGATAACCAATCCTTTACGCACCACAGTCTACATACTATTTATTCCTTCAAGTTCAAAACTACTAATCATTATCATCACAATAGTGAATGTCCCAACCATAAATTAGCAAAGTAAGTGTTACAACCAATATCACTGGGTATATACAAGAGAGCATCTTGGAAATTGTTCAGAACCATTTTATGCTATCTACTCTTTATTCAATACAATGCACATAGCAATAATACTACTAGGTAGTAAAAACTTTAATAGATTCACTTGCACATGAAAAAAATGACTTAAACTATACGTGATACATGAAGAAACATTTTTAGCTAGAAATATTTCTAAACCATGATTATAACGATATAGTTACTTTCTGATGAACTGCTTGCAAAATTTAAACACATGCTAAGTTACAAGATAAAGCTGCTATCATAAATAAAAATAAGATTTCACTTCTACCATTACCTGTGTGTTGCGACTCGGACAGCAAAACACCGAACTGGACTCCAAGGGCTCAGGATAAAGAATGCCTTGGTTGAAGAAAATCTGTGCAAGTAGTATTGGGACCATCTTCTGCTTATCACACAAAATACCTTTAAATAAAACTAAAGTTTATATTCTGTAGTTGAAGGAATGTTTTAAAACATTTGAGATTACATTGCCAAAACATCATCTATAATTTTCTATGTTACAACAGCTCATAGTCTAAAAACCATCCTCTGGACCAGATGAAGACAACAATCACATACTCACAATACTGTATAATCACTAAAAATAACATACACGAACAAAAAAAGAATTCCTGATCTCATATCCATCCCTGTAAATTACATTGTATACATGTAAGCGTAAAACATGCATGGTAAAATCAAGAATAAATAAACTATTTGGATGAAACTCTCATTCAATTTGCCCTAACATATATGTAATCCTGTGTCACTGTCAAAATTTTCTATTCTATTTCTTTTTGGCTTAGCCATGAAATTAGAA